CTCACATACCGTCATTCATTGTTGAGTTATTAAAAGAAAAAAGAATACCAGGAAATAGAAAAAATAAAATAATTATTATTTGTGAGTTAAATTATAGACAAGAAGAAATTTTTGTGGGGTATCATCCTATTCATCCTGCGTGATTGAAATCCCGTCAGGCGTCCCTCAAGGGGAGCACCCGAGCTCTCTACTGTTCACTCTTTTTATTAATTCTCTCTGTCCCAACAGCTTAGAAGGGCCAAGATTCTTCTCTTTAATGATGACATCAAATTATTTTTGAAAGTTGACTCTGCGGCTGACCAGGCTGTTCTGCAGAGTGAGCCTAATCTATTTTCTATCTGGGTGATCTATTTTCTATCTATCTTGGACTCGCACTAAATCTTGACAAATGCCACTCAATTACCTTCACTAATTAATCACGTTAACCCGAAAATAAAACATATTTCATCAATGGCTTGCCACTTACACAAGTATCTCAAATTAAAAACTTCGTTATCCATTGTACGTTTTCTCTTTCATTTGATCACCATATTGACTTTGTACTTTGTAGTAGTACAAGCTCTCAAAGTTCTCGGATTTATCAAACTCAAAACTAAACATTTCGCCTTGGTGAATATTGTCTTCGTTCTCTCTACTTTGCATTAGTACGATCAATTCTTGAGTATGTGATCGTAGTGTTGCACCCATACCTAGAAAAAGATTAGCTACAGCAGGTGCAGAATCGCTTCCTAACTTACTTAGCATTCGTGAGTAAAACTGATGTGTCACCCCACGACTATGTCTGTCTGAGTTATATGTTTAACATTCCATCTCTTTCATCTCACCGCGCCGATATAAATGAACACTTTATAGTTTCCCTTCTAAATGGCACCTTTACTTACTGGAATTCCATTCAAACTATCTACTTGTTAAATGCGTAACCTAATCCAGTTTTATATCCCACACTATCACTCTACTTCAATGGTTTTAATTATCCCCTACACAGAAGCTAGTAGAGCTCAGAGTTAATAATCTAAATGTGCCTTAGTTGTTTTAGCTACGTTCTCTGACTACTTGTATCACTTGTATGATTTTTCATATTGTTATACTATGTATGATATCGTTCTTTTGCTATTGTTATTGTGACTTAATTATTGTTAACTGCCGATTGGCGTAAAATATAAATAAATAAATAGTTTTGTATAATATTGTTGGTGACTAATCTCTTTCGCCATATTTGACGCAGAACAGTTTGTTGTAGTGGAATTTTAAACTTTTAAAGTAACAATAAGGCAAATATCATATTCGATAATTGATTCAGAGTTAATCACGGCCAACCAACAAAAAATATTCAAATTGTCGATTTTGGTAGTTATTCCTGACAATAAATAATTTTCCTAAAACGATTAAACTACCAAACATTATTTCTTAAAAAAATAAATAAACGCCAACAGGTTGTTTTTAAATTTTATATCTTATATTAATCTAGTTGAGTTATGGTTAACCTTATCTTCTGTTTACTGGTTTTAGTTTTCAAAATTACAAATATAAAAAAAATAAAGATTTATAGATAAAACATAATAATCTTTACTAGCTTTCAAAGATAAAATATTTTTTCATTTATATTTTGTTGATGTCTACTGGAACATTAAAGGATATTTAATTAAAATTTCAGAATGTGTTGTTTTATTTTCAAACAATGTTGTATACAATATACATGTTTAACACCGTAAAAACTCTTAAAATCAATTACCTATTCATATTTTTTATATTTTAAATTAAAGTTTAATCAAATTTGTGTCTATATCTTCATTAAATATTATTTTTTTCTATCTTTAAACTTTTACAACAATTATAGTGTTCTTCATAATTAAAGTATAGGTTATTTCTACTCTACTATTTTATTTTATTTTTTATTCATTGTTTGTACTTTAGATTTTAGTTAAAACATACATTTTAATTAAAAATACATTATAATACTAATAAAAAAATTATTATTATTATTCCTGTTAATCCACACGTAGGCTAGACAATGGCTGAACTGTACTGGAGATGTAAACAGTATTAGCAGTTTTTTTTACTATAGATAATAATTGTTTTCATTACTTCATCGTAAATATTATTTACTAGACATTTATTAGTCAATCGCGTGGTTCACTTCTAACTTTTTAAATTTGCAATAAAGTAATGTTTATACATTTACATATTGTGTAAATATATATGTATATTTAAACATCATTCATGTTTTTGTCTAAATTATGCTTATTTGAAAAATACATTCTATGATTTTTTTTAAATGTCAAATAGGTAGTTATGGATATATACACTAGCTATCGTCAGCCAACATTTTTTTTATTAACTGGCTGACTTGACAATGCTTTGATATTGCTGGGTTTTTGTGATTGTTCAACTCCTTTTAAGTGCAAGTGTGTAATACAGTGTTTAAGCGATGAATTTTTAAGTGTAAATTATATTATATTTTGATTTATAGCCATCCCGACCGTCGTTGTCCATGAGATTCGCTTATATGCGAGCAGTATATATTATCAGGCAGGAAATCAACTAGTGTATAATTTAACTCTAAAGTATCAAAGTTATACACACAATCAATAAATAAAAAAATCCTATCAAAACCAAACCAAAATCCGATTAATAAAAAAAAAACCAAAAATTTGTATGTATAGTCAGTGGCGCCGAAGTACAAAATGAAATGTATGGCAAGGACCTCCGAGAGCCACCCACCTCACACCAACATCACAAAACCCACTTAGAAAATTTGAAACCTGTCACAAGCAATTTGCCACTCACTTTTATTTTATTTTTAATTAGATTTTTTTTCTTTTTTCAACCAATGCATATGTAATAATATTAAAATTATATTTAATACCTGCAACGATAGTACAAAATACAAAAATATAAACAAAATGCAACCTTTTAAATTATATTATAATATTATGTATACAATATTAATTATTTATTTATTCTCCTATGGACCCACTCCCCAACCAAATGTTTATATTATGTATGGAAGCTGCCATACATAAACATGAACTTCGGCGCCACTGTGTATAGATGAATAAAAATAAAAATAAAAAAGTAAAAATGAGAAAAAAAAAATAAGGCAAAATATTGTTCCACTGAAACCGTAGTTCAAACTCGAGACATTCTGTAATATACAATTTAAAAATCCCTGTTTGAGAATCTCCCCAGGCCCTCTTATTTACCATTTTTCGTGATGAAATGTAGCCAATCTTGAATCTTCTTCCACAAGGCCTAATCTAACTATGTACCAAATTTCATCGCAATTGGATGAATGGTTTAGGAATGCATAAGGACATAGATAGAAACGATTGTTGTGTTTTATAGAAATAGATTAATAAATTATCTTATTATGATATATGTAGTAGGTAGATGGCAATTAAACGGCCATAAAATTATTTAAATAACTTATTAAGTTATGGTTATTTTTGGAAATAAAATCTGAAAGATATTATAGATGTAATATAGGAATTACTAAAGAATAAAGATGATATTATATTATGTCGATTAAACGCGGATAATTGTATGATACTTAATGTTAATGGACTCTCCGGTAAACGAATCTTCATAAATAATATTTATATTAGTATAAAAAAATTTTATATAGAGCAAACATTATTTGAATAGATTTATTTCAAAGAACTAAAATAGACCTTTAAGCGAGCTCACAATATACATTTTATAAAAATAACCTTTTATGCTCCTGTATGTCGATGCCAGTGAATAGCAAATAAGTACTTAATAGTAGAATGAAGTAAATATACACGGTTTATGATAATATAGCTAAATATAATATAAAATGTATTATATTAAATTAAATTGAGTACCTACGTACATCGGAATTTTTTGCTTACGGAATGGCGCAATTTCAGTTTTTGACTTGGAGGGACTATAAATATATTTAAATGAAACAGACCTGCCTAACCCCACGCTGCTTCGGATACCTACCTATGTGACGGCTACATTAGGTACTTTATAAAAGTATACAAAATTGTGACTAAAGTCTAGACAAAATATTGAAATGTTGTTAAGAGGGCGTAACACTGGCATTTGTTGTCTCCGTCTTACCAGTGAGGAACATAGCAAATTTACGCTCAGCAGAACACTCGTAGCTTCGTTAGTTTAAACGTTAGGGTGAATTGACCTATTATGAAACCTTATGGTAAGAACATTATCTGTGTTTGTATGTTGGTCTTTTACGATAATTCAGTTTTTAAGTGAGTTATTGTGAGCATTTTTAATTTACGGTATATTATATACGCGTAACTTAAAAGGCTAAAAAATCGAACTTAAAAGGTAAAAAACCAACATACAAACACAGATAATATTCTTACCATCAAGTTTCATAATAGATCAATTCTCTCTAATTTTTAAGCTAACGAAGCTACACGTGTTCTGCTGAGAGTAAATTTGTTATGTTCCTCACTTGTAAGACGGAGACAACAAATACCAGGGTTAAGTTCTCTTAACGGTATCGTAGTTCGTAATATTATTGAACCTATGTAACTACTGTGTGTAGTTTCGATATAATATACTGTGGAAAACACGCCAATAATGAACTGTTGTTTAAACTTTATAAAATTTTTTCTTCAAACCACGTTTACTAATTTACTATATGGATTAGCTAATTAACGGGTGATTTAATACTTTAAAAATAAGTAATATACATTTTAGGAGGGGTTGAGCCTCTCCAAGCCCCCCCCGCCAAAAAAAACTGTGCTTACTGCTCAAGGTGCATAATATTATCATATACTTGAGCCTATATAACTACACAGGTATCTACACAAAGAAGTAGACGAATTTCGTATTTATGTTGTTCTCAGAAATCCAGAAAAATAGATAGATGTATTAATAACTATTTAAAAAAAAAAACGCCATTAAACTTTTGCAATACATAAATGTGTTAACCATCGTATATAACACGTGACTACTATCAATAAACACAATTATTAATGAAATATATTGAACACAAACGATATTACCTTGTAACCGATGTATGTGAGAAGAAGTGATTCGCATAGGGCGAAAACTGCCAGTCCGCACTGTATCACCCACAGCTCTAACGGTCGTTTTACCCATTGTATCGCATCCCAATTGATAATGGGTCTCGCTTGGAATGCCTCGTCCGTCAAATTTCGGCTCCATAGGAATTCGGTTTTGTTTCCCATTTTGCATCCATAACTACACAAAATGTGAAGGGGTGGGGTTAAGAGTAGTAGCCAGTAGGTAGGCAATACAAGGCAACATTTTTTTTTTTTGGGAATGATATACACGAATATTCAATATATTGACAAAAATGCTACAATATGATTTGTATATTATTTTGATCGAATTAACAAAACAAGAATATTGTTCGACAATAATATTATAATATACTTTATGCATGATTTAATATTTTCTTGCTTACCAAGTCGCGGACGTGGGATCTTGATCTAGTACGACGCGGACGATATATAAAACACATGTTAGTAGTTTGAAAAATAAATTTGCGATACGAATACGAAGACCTATAACAGAAAAACATAGTTGAATATTAATTTCTGTAAATATCAATATTTTGGGTAGTAATAAATGAAATTGAAACGAATTAAAAACTTATTAGAATCCATGATAAACGTATAACGGCTACGAGCTAATTGAAACATATCAATATGTTAAATGACTTATAATATGGGTAAGAAAATGTTGTAATTTTAAACATTGAAATAATGACAAAGATAATAATAATTACAATATGAAAATGAATAAATTATATTTAGAGGAGAAAACTGACTACATGGACTGTAAATTGCCTCGAGGCTTAAGACTTAACGATATTTTAAATAAAACTAGAATAACATTGAATGGAAATAAAAAAAAAATTAGTTTAAAACTTTTCTGACAAATTATGTGTATGAGTATATTATAAAGTACATAATATAAAATAAATCCATATAAATAAATATTCTAAGTTTTTATCTTTTAAAAAAAAAAAAAAAAATAATAAATAACTTGGTCTATGACATAAAATATGTTTATACACGTTAATTCTTTTAACAGGGTACACTTATTATTGGGAATAATATTAAAATTTTTTAATATTTTATTTCTGGATACCTACGTGTAATCCTAATATTAGATTCCGAGTGTAGCGAATGTATTGTATTTACAATGATTTGTTTCTTTCTATCATCAACATTTTGGGTGTACAAAATTCTCCGATTTTTGACATTATCATCTTTTTTGGTCAAAAAGTGAATTTACTTGGAGCAATTGGGAGGTCAGAACTAAAAATTCTCAGTAGTTTTTGAAAGAGCCGAGAAAGAACAAAAAAAATGAAGGAATAACGAGAAATTTTACACAAAACCATATTTTAACAAAATGTATATAATTTTTTTGATATATTATCTCCAAAACTAATAACCGCAGACACTTAAATTAATGTTCACCAATTATTTATATAATCATTTTCCATTTATGGTAATATTTGAGCTATTTATAGCTTTGAGAAATTTTTCCAAATTTTGTAAAATATTTTAAAACTGTTCTCGAAAAAAACTTTTCACTAATAAAAAAGCTTGAAAATTTAATGCAAGGGTTTACATAAGTTTCTTAATATTAGTAGTTCAAAAATATTCGATATACACGATTATTTTTTATATGCATTTAAAGTTCAAATTTTGACAAAATTCATTAACATCCTGAAAATCTGCAAATTATTTTTCCGTTTGACATTCATAAACTTTATGTAGCTTATATTAGAAATTTGAATTGAAGATTCTTCAGACAGTATTATACATTTTGTATGAGCATTAGTTGTTGCACTGTATACAGCATAGCGGTACCCACTTGTCTACATTTCCTTTATTTTTGTTGTCTCGTATATGTTGTAGAAACCACTATAAAGAAACTTTTGATTTTTAAATAGGACCGTTATTTTACATTTTTGTATCTAAAAAAATGGTTTTGCCCGAGTATAAATATCATATTGTGTTGAAAAAGTCTTGTTTTTTTTTTTTTTTGTTGTATTAATAAGCTTTCATCGTTCAGATGCATGAAGTAGTGAACCCCACATTTTGAAAGTACCCATTGCAATATTACACCTCTTGTATACACTTCTATAATAAAGTCTATAATACTTATAAATAAAAAATAAATTTTTCCACATTCGTTTATGAATTTCGTTATTTATTTATCAAAGTGCTTAAATAAGTATCCTGCTTCCGATCATAAACCTAAAGTTGTAAGTAGCAAATTAAAAGTTGTTATATGGGATCACCAACAACATATACAAACCAACATTATATATCTGTAAGAACAATAGAGGTGTGAAAACGACATGCGATTTTAGAACTATTTCCCGTATTAATCTTATATATTTTTTTTTTTTTTTAAGAAAATACACAAAAGTAAATGCTTTCTGAAACAATGAATGTTGTTAATTGTTGAAAAACAAAGTTGTTTATATTATATGAATACATTATACAATAATATAATATATTATATTAGTTGCCATTATTTAAATGTAAATTTAACAGATTTATAAGGGTTTTTGTAATAGTAATACAACCTATAGACATTTTTTCTTTATAGGTACAATACAAAATCACAACCTAAATAGGTATTATATTTATGATCAATTGAAAACACTACACAATTGATTTAAAAAAAAAAATATATATAAAAAGTAATTATTGGTTCTTTAAAAAGAAAAAGAATCATTGTGTAGAAAATACGTTTTTGCATAAACTGAGGTAAAAAAAAAATATAATATATATCTATTGTTATCAAAGAATTATTCTTTAAATACTTTCTTTTAAACAGTCTACGATTTTTTTATCACAATTTTTGTTTTATAATTTCCGAAATAGTTACACATAAGTTATATAACAAAGTATAGTTCACATTAATATTTTATATTTGTTTTCAAATATTTTGTTTTCTTGAATACTTACTTGAGCGTTGGTTTTTAATAAAATATATTTGTAAACGTTCTTTGAAGGTATTTTCGTTAACGTAATATTCCACTCGTACCCTATAAAAAAAAAATAAAGTTATTATTAAGTAATTCAATTAATAATTAATTTTTATTTCTGTACTATTATACAGATGGAAATTCATATATTTGTTGTATTTTTAAATGGCTTTGTACAATAGAATGTATTATACACACATTATAATAATAATAGTATCATAGTATACTATTAGAGTTTTTGATGAAACACAAAATATACATTTGGTGTACCAATAGACAATTTGTATAATTCATAAATTTACCAAAATAATTCCAACTGACAACTGACAGTACTTTTTCAAGTATTATTTTACTAAATCGTTTTTATTCGAATTAAAAATCGAATTATTAAAATAAAGTAAAAATGGTATTTCCAAAAACCTTAATACTTATCGGTACACACAATAGTGTAGGTACATTGGTAAAACTTATGAGAATCATACATTTTTTTTAAATTGTATAATTTTGTACTTTACGATGTAGAAAATAAAATATTATGAAACTAAGATACTGGCTTTACACTTTTCAGATATGGAAAAAGTATATATTAAGAAACAAAATTACATATTCAACAAACGATAACATGTTTACTTGCGTACTTTGTGTAAGCAATTATATAAACTACTATAAAGGATAAAAAATATTTAATAGGTAGGTTTTTAAAATATTATAATATTATGCACTTATATAAGACCTATGACTTGATTTAAAATAAGTCTTATTTTCCGAATATCTTCCATAACGGTTACACTAATGTTAAAATCTACAAGTTATAATAATTAAGTATTAGGGTTACTATTAGGTATTATTTGAATAACTATGGTTTCGCGTGCACTGAATAAATTATATTTTATTATTGCTTTCTCGATTTACCAAACGTATACTTCTTATTCGTTTAAACTCAAAAGTTAATAGACATTGTCAACGTATAAAAAAATCTCATATAAACAGTTTTCAAATAAAATATATGAGTACCTATATATATGGTCTTTTTATAATTTTATTGAAATGTTCCCAAGTACGTAGTATACATAGGTACTTACATATTATATATATTATGTTAAATCATTGATCAGTAGGTCTCTTGCCAATCCTGGCCAAATTAATGTTTTGAAAATAAATTAGTTATTATTGTTCTTATAATATATTAACGAATAGAAATGATACTGAACTAGGTAATGATTGTTCAATTTCATTACCTATAATGTATGCCTATCAAAACATTTTTGACCCAAGATGCCGAAGCGTATCACCCATTGTAAAAATGTTGGACTGTTCTGACCCTGTCATTGGTTATAAATATTATATACTAGTATTTATTACCAATGGTTATGTGTAGAATCTAAATATAAACAATTTAAAACTTATTTTAGGTTGGTTCCCTATTGCTGTGAATGTCTGAGCTATACAAAAGTTTAGAAGAAAGGGTGTCATTCTGTTGTAAAATGTTTAATACTGTAAAGTTTTAATAATTTACTGTATAATAAGCTCACTAAATATTAAAATCAAACTTTAGCGCAATGCAATCATCATTTTATAAATTTTTTTTATAATTTTAAACTTCAAACTGTTTGGAGGACATTTTGGATTAAAATTTGATTTTATTATTTTTTAAATACCTACTTAATAATTGTTGGCAGTACCCTTAAAGATTATTTAAATTGAATTATATACAAAATTCACCATCAGTGGTTTTTGAAGAAAATGTAAAAATAAGTCAATGAAATGAGTGTTTTCATAGAAAAAATGACAGTTTATGAGTAAGCTAATGTATTATCTGAACCGAATTTCGAAAACAATGATTGATCATAGCTTTAAAATTTAAAGACACTCAGCGTAAACCAACCAAACTTCTATACTTTTAACTGTATACAACTTGTATTATATTTTTCTTCACGATTCAAACAACTAGAATTAGTTTACCTAAAGTGTATCAAAAAAGTTTGCAAGATAGACATGTAGAATAATACTAAACGTTTCCAAATTTTCTTATGTTTGTAACCTATGTGTTTATATTTAGTATCTAAAATTGTCTCATTGAATACTCCATGATAAAATAGAATTTTACAATCCAAAATAATCGAGTCATATAATGCAACGAGTACTTGTGTTGATTTATAATACAAATTGTGTTTAAGTATTTTAAAAATATAGATTTTCAATCCACACTATTTTGCCAATACCTACAATAATAAAGTAATAAATTTAAAATACGTTTTATATTGTATTGGGAATTTGAAATGATAAGTTAAAACATTTTCAATAACCAAACTATTATTGTCAAAGGACCCCACATCCGCATGTATTGTCACACTGTCTTTCGATTGCGACATCATTGTGAATTTGCGTTCACCAGACACAATTTCGGGGTAATATATTGGACTAAATTTGATTGAATTGATTTATTATCGAACCATCCAAACTTAAACTTAAGAACATCAGCAATGTTAGTTAGCGTCGTTAGTTGCTTACGATATTTTAATTTCCAAGAAATTTATGAGTACCTATATAGGTACGTTAGACAATTACGATTTGAAAACGACCATAACTCGCTTGGAAACTAATATACCTTTGGTTCTGCTGAACGAAAATTTGCAGTTGTTCGTTTGTAAACTATGAGAGAATCAACGCGGGCGAACTTAAGCTTAGAATGTTGATAATATAGGTTATATAAATGGTACCCATACATTTTCCTCGGAAAATTGATTTTCTGTTTCTGTGTTTATACTTTATTTTCTTACGTTTTTGAAACTTCAATTTCTTATAAATGTTTGAAATAGTAATCTATTCATCTCCTAGTCTTAATGATTTGATTCAATACTTTTAACTTTTGATTTGATCAATTTTATTTTAATATCTTTCGTTGAAAATTAAATTAGCTGTGTATTAAATAAAATATAATTAGACAATTTACGCTTTACTGCTGTTGGTAGATATTATAATTTAATATTTATATTACCCTTTGAAATTATAGATTCATGTAATTAAATCAGTTAGTTCTTAGAAATGTTAAATAATATATTAGGTTTAAATTACATTTTAACCATGCAATATCAACCATTTAGGTACCTCTATTTATATTATATACGGCAGTGAGTAAGTATTTTTTTGTCTGTAAAAAACATAATTAATAAATATTATCACTGTAGTATAATTATGCATCAAAATTAACTATCCGACTATTCATAATTCATCTGTTGACCCACCAAACTCTCACTTCTCCTAATTGGTTTTGTTTTATTTTTTAAACTCGTTCATCTTATTCCATTGTATTTTTATCTTTATTTAAAGATGTACTAATTACGAATTATATTAAAATATTTTTAAATTCACCATTTGATCACTCTTTTTTATAACATGATGATCTTTGTTTGTGAATTATTGTTAAATACGGTTCTAGGTCACTTTGTACGGTCGAGCATTAAAAGTGCGAAACGCGGACACTTTGTACGGTCGGATAAAAAGGTACATTGCAGAACGCGGACACTTTGTACTATTATATACATAAAGTATATATATTATAAATATAAGTTATATACCTAAGTAGTAAGTATATAATAATATTATAAATTATAATGTAAATTATTAAAATATAAAAATTAAAAATAAAAAGTAAATTGTTTATCGTATATTAATAATGATCAAAATAATTTAATAATCAAACAATCAATAATATTATTATAAATCTTAATTGTATTATAATATTAGATATCAGTTTTAAAGCAAATTAAAAATGTGTACAGTATAAATATGTCATAATGACAAATAAAATATAATAATGAAAAAAAATCATTAAAAACTACATGCATAGTACCTATAATATGGAAATATCTCAAAATGACAAGTAAAGTATAATATTGACAAAAATTTTAAAAAACTACATAATATTGTATAGTATAATAATATGAAAATATGGCAAAATGGTATCAAGCTTAGATAAAAAGTGCACATACATAATTATTTAATATTAAGGGTTTAATAAATCAATTTTAGAATAATTCGTCAAAATGAACGATCTATAAAATATCAAATTTCCATTCTTTAATATTTAAAAAAATCTTTAAAACCTACATGTATAATATGACAGTGTCTTAGTGAAATGCATTTATAACATTGCAAAATGCACCATTATCGATGTACCCATGAGATTCCCCAGATTATATAAAATGTATTTATAACATTTTTAGTAAAATTTGTCATATATAATATATAGTATTATTTACTTGCTAACCTAGGTATATAACTTATATTTATAATATATATACTTTATGTATATAATAGTACAAAGTGTCCGCGTTCTGCAATGTACCTTTTTACCCGACCGTACAAAGTGTCCGCGTTGTACATTTAGAACAATGGACCGTACAAAGTGACCGTTTACCTTAAATACTTGTAGTAATATCAAATATATGATACAGAAACTATGCAGTAAAATACGTTTACTTGAATGTCGATAAATATTTTATAATATTTTTCTTAAATTATTATTTATTATACTATATAGGTACTAGATTATTAAATTATTTAATTCTTTAATATCAAAAAAATATAACTTATATACATGAAGCACGTGTATGAGTACATACAAATAAATTATTTTGTAATATCAGTAAGTTTTTTTAAAGCTTGCTACTAGTAATAGCTATGGAAATAGAGGAATTTGACTTCATTATAATTTATAATTATACACCACTTCCAACCATAAGAATATTACACTATGGCATTATTGAGCTATGCAGTTATTTATTTATATTGTGTTTTTATTCTATAAACAACTTTTAACCAATGTTTTTGCCTGAATTCTTTAAGATGTCTAGTTATTGTAGTTGTATGAACAATGAAAATTAATTTAAAAAAAAAAAATAATCAAACTTTCAACAAGAACTTTGAAAAGACAATAGTTTGTAATTTGTATACCTACATTATTTTTCAGAATCAAAATAATCATTATTATTCATATTCCACACTATTGGATGTTTGGTCAAGAATTGGGAAAACTTTTTAAAATAAACCTTTTTGCC